AACCTGCCAAAGACGATGATGGTGCACTTTTACACGGCCATCATTAAGTCCATCCTCTGCTCCTCCATCACCGTCTGGTACGCTGCAGCAACAGCCAAGGACAAGGGCAGGCTGCAGCGTGTCGTCCGCTCTGCAGAGAGGGTGATTGGCTGCCACCTGTCGTCCCTGTAGGTCTTGTTTGCTTCTAGGACCCTGAAGCGAGCTAAAAAGATCGTAGCCGACCGCTCTCACCCCGGACAAAAATTGTTTGTGCTCCTTGCATCTGGCAGGAGGCTGAGGTCCATCAGGACTAAGACCTCCCACCATACAAACAGTTTCTTCCCGTCGGCAGTCAGGCCCATCAACAGAGCCCGGTCCCCCACTGACTGACAGACATTCCACCAGTCACTTTCTTTCACACTGCACACGTCACTTTTGTCACTTCTGGTTCACTGGTGCACTTTATTTTTAAATTTTAAAATATTTTTAACTTTAATTCTTATGCCTTTATTTTAAACTAACCCATAGCCTTATACTACTAACCCATAGCATTATTTTTTATTTTATTCCTCGTGTATTCCGCACTGTTGTCTTGTCGTCCATTGTCGTACTGTCTGCTGTTACGCACCAAACGCCAAGTCAAATTCCTTGGATGTCTGACATATTATGGCAATAAATGTTTCCCGATTCCTTTGTTTTTGGCCCCAGCAGCTATCAAAGAGCTTGTCTCGAGCTCCGGGACCTCCTTAACCCCAGGAGAAGGAACCCTTCCCGCAGCGACCTCCCATTCTTCCCGCTGGGCCGCAGCGACCTCCCGCACCCCGACTCGCGCCCCCCGACCCCTGACCCCCGACTCGCGCCCCCGACGCCTCCAGTCCCGGCTCCCCGACGCCTCCAGTCCCGGCTCCCCGACTCGCGTCCCAACGCCTCCAGTCGTGGCTCCCTGACTAAGGCCCCCTCCCGGCACGTGGTCCTCTCCCACCACCCCTTGAGTGTTCTGAGGGCTGTCTGGAATCCGGCCCTTGAGAGGGGGGTTCTGGCAGTTTGGGCCGGCGCCCCGTGACCAGCAGCCGACGCCGTCGTCGTGACCAGCAGCTGATGCCGTCGTGCCCGGCTCCCCGTGACCAGCAGCAGGCGCCCCCGAGCCAGACTCCTGACCTCCGTCCCGGCCGACGGAGGTTCCCCGACCGCCAGAGTGCGACAGAGATGGCAAAACATAGTTAAAAATAAAGTAAAAGCTTGGTGTAGGGGACCCGGAGGAGCCAGCTGCTTGCAGATCGGAGGGTCCAAGTGGATGTTTGGGGAGTGAGTAGTTCTTGCAGATATGCGCATGTCCATTTATGCATGTTCATACATGCAGTAGAATTTTGTAGTCAACTTTACCCAGCTGAAACTTTAGTGTCCTTCTTAACGTGGTTTGCTAAAGATCGCAATTGATTTGAAATGGTTTGTAAAAACAATTCCATGTTGCCAAATGCTAACAACTTGCACTGCATGAAAAGTGAGATTTTCGTCCCCGTAAACGCCCGGAAATCTCCCTAATTTCCGACAATTTCCGACAATTTGCAACCCGCGCACGTCGCGTTTGTCTGTGCCACAAATTGTCGGAAACGAACCATGACGTAGGCGGAGAGCTGGCGGAGGTGCGAATGGCCCGAATTAGCATGTGAATGCAGCGAAACCGCGGGTGGCCGAGCCAAGCGGGCTTAAATATCCTTACTCCTTATTGGATGAAACCTCAACTTACTAACAAATAAAATCACTCGTGATTGGCAGCAAAACCACACGTGGGCAGACCAGGCTTGAGTTTCCTTGTTCATGATTGGATGAAACCACAACTTTCAATCACTCGTGATTGGTTGGCAGATCTGTCGCTATTGGTCACCCGCCTCATTTTATTTATATATTCATATTATGCTGTATATTCATTTCATGGTTATCCTATGTAGGCTACTACACTATTAGGATACCAACCAGGACATCAATGAATTTAGAGAGAAAATGAACATTTGCCACATGTTTATGCAAAGAAAAAGCTTTATTAACAACACACAAACAACAACTACATACAAAGTGAGGATCTGCCCACACTTGGGTAAAGGCGGTTTAAAAAACTACAGCTCAGTAAAGTGTCCGTTTGCCTCCTCGGGGTTGTAGACCGTCACTGGCGCCGTGTTTTCCGAGGCAGGTCAGTTGTGCAGGCGCCTCGTGTGCGTGTGGCGACCGTACAATCCACCCCGAGACCCCGCCAACAACGCCATCCTCTCCGTCCGACGTGAGCTCCACGGTGGCGGAGTTCCAGAGTTCCACCTCGTCATCAGCCAGCGCACTTTGTCTCGATTCCAGCAGCTGTAAAAACAACAATGAATCAGTACTGTGCGATGCGTACGGACACAACACATCGATCAATGCACCTGAAACAAGTCAGCAAATAAACTCTGACCCTCTTTCTTCTCGCTCGACTCCGCGCTGAATCGTTCGCAGCTTCCGCCCGCAATGAGTGTTCCGCCTGAACCTGAAGCTCCTGCGTCCCGTCTCAAAATACGTCTCACAGGGAGCTGGAAAACAATTAAATGAGTGTGGTATGAATACAAAAAGAAAATCAAACGCAAGTCACAGTAACATTTAACAAGGAAGGAGAAACAGTGTCACTTACACACAATGACGTAGTCTAAATCTGGACTTTTCCCGGAGCAAATACGAGGTCACCGCCTCATTATGAGGCGAGGTTAGTCTGTAAAAAACAAAATGTACAGTTATGATCGGTATCCATACGTATATATTCCCTTATAGCGCAGAATGAAAGCATATTCTTTAAATCTGACCCTTGCTCCGGTTCGTAGCGCCTGTAGTTCGTCTCGGAGTTGTGAAGACGGCGCAGCGCTTCCTGTAAACAACACGGCAAAGAAAACACACTTTAATAAAGCTGTTTCTGCTCACTTGTAAGGCTACTAGGCTACTCTTAGCTTAGCTTGAGGCTACGCTACTCTTAGCTTAGCTTGAGGCTACGCTACTCTTAGCTTAGCTTGCAGTCATCGAACGTATTCTTACCGCTATCGTGGGATTGTGCGCCCGTCTCCTCTTCTTTGAGTCGGTTCCTCTCCTCCATGGACAGAAACCCGCAGAGTCCTGAACGCTCCAGTGGAGCGAACCGCTCGTTGATATCGGCAGTTTGTTGTTGGGGTTGACGAGACGATCCACTGAGAGCTTTCAGCAGCTTCTTCTCGTCTGTCTGCGGACTGGCCGAAAGTTGGTGACCGCGGAGAGGAGTTGAAGGCGAGTTGAACGCGAGACGTCGTCCAGCCATTATTCACGAACCAGCAAAAACCAAACAAAGGATCTGGAGATACAGTTCTTCTGAATATAGTGACACATGTGTCTGTTTGTATGCTCGTCTTGCAAGTACTGCTGTATGAGTCATGCCTATGACCTCACACGTGATTGGACGAGGAGTCTAAGGGTCCTCCAATCACATACGAGGTTATTGTTATACGGAAGGACCAGTATTTTAGGAAGACAAATGGTTGGGACTTTGAAACAGCTGATATGCTTTATGTAAAGCAGTGTTTTGGTGTCAGCAGAACGACTTTCCCTAGAAAACTGTACAGTGGTGCCTCTTTCTCCATTCCACCAGACAATCTTGGATGAGTCTGACCGACATGCAATGTTGACAATGTGTCATCAGATGTACCCTTGTGTCACTGAGGTTGAATGTTTTGCCATGACATGTAAACGGGTAACATATATGAATGTAACTTAATCGATAGATGCAGAGCATAAAGGTCAGCATATGTTCATGCTAAGTGGTGTGGAAACACTACCAGTTTTGAGGAACCCGTCCTTGACCCTCTAGCAGAACTACGACCAGCCATTATAAAGCAGTTTATAGTTGTTAATGTTGTGTCAAAGGGTATGGCATTTAAACATGTTCTTGCACAAGTTTCCTGGCTTCATCCCCACCCGGACAGACATTTTTATGGAAAGCCAATAGAAGTTTGGGGCTTGCAGGGAACAGATACGTCATACAGCATCATTTCTGCCAGTTGAGCGCATTGCTAGAAGATGTGTGGTTAATACATCCTCTGTGCATTTAAGTAAGACCAAAGGTCACTGTAGTCCTGCCACTATGCACTGTAGTTGAGCTCTAGGAGACTGATCTCTGCAGACCCCTCATGCTGATTCAAATGTTGTTTGCATGGAATGCTCATTTTACCTTGATTAAAACAAATTTTTTAAAGAAGTTATTTTGTGTATCTTTTTTACATAACATTTGCCATTGCTAATGGCGTACACAGTAATCTAGCATATTTGAATTAAATAAATCAATTCAAGCTAAAATGTAAGCGTCTATAATTAGGCTACTGAGCCTGATCTATTTGTACCAGAGATTTTCTTACCTTTTAAAAAAATGTCACCTGGGCTAAAACTCCCTCTCCGACCCTGATTTGCATTTGTATAGCTCACAGCATTTTCATTTACATGTCAAAGCCTCCCCTAGAAATAGGAGGAGGGGGGTCATGGGGGGACAACTGCCAAGGGAGGCCCACGTCAATTTCTGACAATTTACGGCAGTTTTCGGCGTTGCCCGCGAATTGCCGCAAATTGCCGCAAACCTGAAATTCCACGACAATTTACAGTGCCGCATACTGCCAAAAATCCCACTTTTCATGCAGTGTTGTGCCAAGGAGTCAACTTCAAGGGCGTGTGCAACTGAGGCAGAAGTAGTAGACCAGGAGCGATCACACTCCGGTGACCAATCCTGCTTCAGACAGAGGTTAGGACCTCCCACCTCAACCTGAAACATCTCTATTTTGGATACATTCCATTCTGCTGCATTAATTTAATTAAAGTTTAATTTAACCAATAAATGAAAAAATGTAGGAGAACATAATGGTAGATATAAATATATGATACGTATTTGTTTATGACCCGTTTGATTATCAACTTTTATTTATGGTTACATTAATTGATTTATTTCCATATTTATTTATACATTTATTTATATGTGGCAATGCCAAGAGGAAAATCTTTTTTTTTTTTTTTATATTAAAAGCCAACAACGCCACCTTTTCACCCCAGGAATTAAAAGGGACAACCAGTCTATGGTCAATGACAGGACACAGGTTCGGACAACACAGGCACTGGACGTGATTCTATGAAGAAAATTATACAAGTTTATTTTAATATTAAATTATTTTCTTAAAATAGTCGCGATCACAAAGTTCAGATAAAATCTTTCTCAGGTTCTCAGTCATTCAGGTTACCATGAGATGCAACATACAGGAGGGGGCTGAGACTGAGGGCTCACTGGCAGAGTTGACTTGCTGAGGGGGAAGGGGCCTAATGTTCCACCACACGTGAAAAACAAAACAAACCACACACCAACTATTGACACCGAGGTGCACTGCAACAAAAAAATGAAGGGAACCACCACCACCGGGATCAGCCAGTCACTACTAACAGTGGCACCAACAGCTCCGGTTTCATCAAAACAAGAAATAGCAACCATTAGTAATGAAATACCGGCCAGGAGGTCCACACGCACACAAAAAGAAAAGAATGATTAAATCACTATACAGAAAATAGCCTAGACAGAACAGCAGTGGGGGGGTCCCGCACTGTTTAGAGGCCCGCTTCAGCAGGTGAGCCACTGGCGGGACGTAGAAGCTTCAGTGCTCCTGCGCCATTGTGGTGCACCACAACGACACCGCTTTGCTGCAAGTCAAAGGTAACAGAGGCATCTATGAAACAGCTGGACGAGGCCCATGTACATCTAAGCAGTACAGATGAGACAGCCTACCGTAGGAATTGGATGCTAAGGGGATCTGCACCGGCTTGAAGGCCACGCTTCCGCCTCCAACCTCATTCGGCAGACAGGCAGGCGCCGTCGATGACGCGGAAGGGGGAGACACAAAAGACGCTCCGTGCAGCACATGGGACGCCACGCACACAATACAGCAGCCACTCTTCCTCGGCCGCAACTTTCAGCCAGACAAGTGGCTGACTAATGCAAACACAGAGCACATCAGCTACCAATGCCTTAATATAAAACAACATTGCCCGAAATTTACCTAAAAGTCTAAAACCGCCACGACTTAACAAGTTGAGCCTTGCTGGGCCCTGCAACAGCCACGCCACGCCACGCCACGCCACGCCACGCCACGCCACGCCAGTCACACTGCCGACGCCAAAGTTTACCCCCGAGAAGAGGTAGGGAGACACACCTGAAGTGGATGGGCTGTTCATTCATATAACCTCAGCAGCCCCGCCCCATGATCGAATTGACAGGATAATTAATCACAGCTTGGTGACACACAGTGGGAGGGTGGAGCCTAGATGGAAAGCCAGCTGATTTAGAACACCCCAAAAACATGGAGATGGAAATGAGCGGAGCCACTCTGCCACACATACTTAAGTCATTTTTTGTCATCCATAGCCACAGAGGATCTCGTCCTTGCTGCGTTAAGTTGTTCAGTAATTCTAGTTCCTTTAATGTGTAATTTTGGGGGGAGGGATATAGTTGAATGTGTCTTCCACGGTTTAAAAAAAGACAAAGCTGCTAAACAACATCCACCACATATTAGAGAATCACTCTCCGGCCTTACCTCGAACTAAACCCTGGAGGTAGAGCTTTTCCTGCTTCTCGTGAACGCATCGTGACTCACGGGCTCCCGTGGCGGCTGTTGGGCGCTGCAATGAGCGGAGGACCTTTACATGGACGCGCCTCCTTAGAGACCCACTCCTCGGCCCGCTCTGCGCTCGGAAGTAGCAGTGTGACAGGATGGAGGAACTCCGCTGTGAACTCCCCGCCCCGGCTGCTTCTGTGTTCACTGCTTTTTTACAGCGTCGGCCATTCTTTTGAGTGTTGCGTTTTTGAGATTGGAGTACTTTGAAACAGCTGCTGTTCAGGACGTGTATTCGGTTTACACTTGGGTTAATAGATGTTTTTCCCACCCAACGCGAGGCTGTCAGTGGAATGTGAGGCGGAGAGAAGGTCTGAACTCGATGCCAACCCCAGCTCCAAGTGCTGCTGCCCTCGCTGACCATGTGCGACACTTTGCGCGCCGCTCACACCGACCTGCTGACCGACAGTAACCGCGCCTAGACGTCTTAATCGGGCTGAATCATGTTGATCGTGTGGGTGCCAGTTAGTTTATTCCTCAGTTTCATAGTTTCTCAGACGTGGAGCGTTCAAATGTCGTGGGATAACTGGGACTCTAAACTGCGCAACCGAGAAAACGACTTTGATAAACCGAGCTCCCAGCCGCACATCGTGTTCATCCTGGTAGATGATCAAGGCTTCCGGGATGTCGGGTACCACGGCTCCGAGATCAAAACTCCGACACTGGACCGGCTGGCAGCGCAGGGCGTTAAACTGGAGAATTACTATGTGCAGCCGCTCTGCAGTCCTTCCAGGAGCCAACTCATGACTGGCAGGTAGAGCACTCTTGTTCCCTATTTCTGATCCCGTAGTATGGCGTTTAACGGATATAATAACCGATAAATGGAGTCCAGGCAGCCTGCCATGGATCTGTTAGAGGGTGGATGTGGAAACCCCAGTCAGCTGTAGGAGTACATCACCAGTCTCCCAGGGAAGTTTTATGTGATAATCAGAATTGAATTATATATGCCATGATCTCTGCTTGTGTCAGTACATTTTAATGGTGCATGTAAGAGTGAGATGACTGCATGGTCAAGGTTAACCATACCAATTTGATAAATTTCACCTTCATAATAAAATAACCTAAGATACACCTGTGTCTGGTCAACAGTTAGATGCAAATGAAAAAATGTCAAGAATGAAGGAATGTTTAATTTTTACAACATGTCATCCGTGACATGTCTTTTTTAATCCCCAACTCTGCAGTCCAAAAACGATTTACAGTTTATTACAGCTTGGATCTATGGCTCAGACTATCAATTCTATAGATTGGGATGACATACCATCAGAGCAGTGCTCCCTCAGGAGTATTTGTTTGCATGCTGCACTGCTGTCTCTACTTATCTTTTCCCGGCTTGAAAAAGGTGGAGGACATTGTGATGTGCTGCTCATGATTGACTTGAATGAATTAGCTATCATGCATGTGATTGCTTAGTCGGTCATATCCGGGGCAGTATTAAACAGATCCTAAGCGTCTTGTCCTGAAATCGATGTATTGTACAATGTATAGGCTCAGTGGACTCACATACTTTGGAAACCTCTGATCCACCCAAAGTTAATAAGTCACCTTTGATTTCAGATGTTTTATAAAACTGATCTTTACATTTGTCCAAGTGAAGGGGCAGAAACGTTGCCTTAGCAACCACTAAAGGATTTTTGTTGGCGCATTAGAAAGCTGATTAACATGTACAGTATCATGGAGGGTGAACAGTGGTCTGGCTTTGTTGTTTGCTTATAATTGTATGTTTCTGTAACGGTTACTGGTACCGGTGCACGAGGGAACCCAACAGCACGACTCCGACAACGATGAGAGAGACCGGTAGTAGGGCTGCAACTAATGATTATTTTGATAATCGATTAATCGTTCGATTATTTCCTTGATTAATCGATGAATCAGATAAAAAAAAAACAGCATTAAAAAAACAGCCTTAAAAAGCTTTAATTTCCAACCCTTTATTCTGAAACAGAACTGCAAATTCACATTGCAAAAATACCTCGAAGTACAGGTTGCTCCTTGAACATAATAATTTATAAAAAAATGTAAATAATGTAAAAACAGGATTTGTTTTAACGTCAGAACTTCTCTATACTACACTCAAACACACCCCCATGTTCACTTGAAGCTTATTCATTAAATTATTACCATCATTTTACTGCAAGTTAAGTAAATGTATATACCCCATCCAAGTACAGCTAAACAACCAAGTGCTATGAGATGAATTTAAAATGCCATTTGTAAATAAATGCATTAGAGGCTTCTTCGTTAGCCGCGCTGGTTTAATGGATCACCGTCTCCCTTTACAGGCATAACATCAACTACCGTATAACCCACAGTATATGCGCAAGCGCACTCGACTACCGTATATGACAGCATTAAAGAGTACGACACACACAAATATACAGTGCATCCGGAAAGTATTCACAGCGCTTCACTTTTTTCACATTGTTATGTTACAGCCTTATTCCAAAATGGATTAAATTCATTATTTTACTCAACATTATACACACAACAACCCATAATGACAAATTAAAAACTGTTTTTTGCAAATCTGTTAAAAATATAGAACGAAAACATAACGTGTACATAAGTATTCACAGGCTTTGCTCAATACTTTGTTGAAGCACCTTTGGCAGCAATTACAGCCTCAAGTCTTCTTTGGTATGATTCCACAAGCGTGGCACACCTATTTCTGGGCAGTTTCTCCCATTCTTCTTTACAGAACCTCTCAAGTTCCATCAGGTTGGATGGCGAGCGCCGGTGCACAGCCAATTTCAGATCTCTCCAGAGATGTTCAAGCGGGTTCAAGTCAGGGCTCTGGCTGGGCCACTCAAGGACATTCACAGAGTTGTCCCGAAGCCGCTCCTTTGTTATCTTGGCTGCGTGCTTCGGGTCTTTGTCCTGTTGGAAGATGAACCGTCGCCCCAGTCTGAGGTCCATAGCGCTTTGGAGCATGTTTCAGGTAGTGTTGTTACCTCCAACCCTCCTGCTTCGAAGCTTGTGTCGAAATATGAACCAGTGCAAGGCAAAGCAAATGTATCGGCGCTTGGTTTGTTCGCTGCTGATGACGTGATCAGTGACGTCCGAAGCTACGTTCCGGGGCACAGTCACGTGACCGCTTCAATTTGATTCAATGGGCTCGAAACAGGGTTCGGGCTGGTCGGTTTGATACAGTCAAATCAGTGTTGTTACGAGTAGTAGTAGCAAAGAGCAAATTTACAATGGAACCTGTGGCAAAGAGGTCGCTCCGAGATGTGGGAGCACTTCAATTTGATTTCCTCTAACACGGTTGGCAATAGGCAGGCAAAGTGTCATTTGTATTGTGTAATTATGGATGTTTATTTTTATTGTGGAGACCACCCAATATTTGGCTGAGCCAAACATTCCACGGAGTGAAGATAATAAAATATTGGGTCAAACAAACATGTGTACCCACATCTATTTGTATTAGCACGTAATCTTTTGAGCATTCCCGCCTCATCCGTGCCGTGTGAGCGCCTTTTTTCTAAGGCAGGGGAAATAGTATCTACAAAAAAGAAACCGACTCAACCCCAATACTGTGAAGAAAATTTAGTTTCTCAATAAAAATCAATAATAATTTCATGCCCCATCCCATGTGTCCACAAGCACCTCAATATCCTGTCATAAGAAACCTGTCCAAAAGCACAATCACTGCCCCACTGACCTTTCCTCTGTAAATCACTTCCCACATTCAAACAATTCACATAAGTCCCTATGACTGGCATGAACTACACATGCAGTAGGAAGCACTTGCTGGTATTTTTCCTCCCGCTGAAAAACATCCCCACAGCATGATGCTGCCACCACCATGCTTCACTGTAGAGATGGTATTGGCCAGGTGATGAGCAGTGCCTGGTTTCCTCCAGACATGACGCTTGGCATTCAGGCCAAAGAGTTCAATCTTTGTTTCATCAGACCAGAGAATTTTGTTTCTCATAGTCAGAGTCCTTCAGGTGCTTTTTTTGCAAACTCCAGGCGGGCTGTCATGTGCTTTTTTACGGAGGAGTGGCTTCTGTCTGGCCACTCTACCAAACAGGCCTGATTTGTGGAGTGCCGCAGAGATGGTTGTCCTTCTGGAAGGTTCTCCTCTCTTCATAGAACAACGCTGGAGCCCTGTCAGAGTGACCATCGGGTTCCTGGTCACCTCCCTGACTAAGGCCCTTTGCACCCGATCGTATGGCTGGGCGGCCAACTCTAGGAAGAGTCCTGGTGGTTCCAACCTTCTTCCATTTCCGGATGACGGAGGCCACTGTGCTCATTGGGACTTTCAATGCTGCAGAAATCTTTCTGTACCCTTCGCCAGATCTGTGCCTCGATACAATTCTGTCTCGGCGGTCTACAGATAATTCCTTGGCTTGGCTTATGCTCTGATATGTCAACTGTGATACCTTATATAGACAGGTGTGTGCCTTTCTCAATCATGTCCAATCAACTGAATTTAGCACAGGTGGACTCCAATCAAGTTGTAGAAACTCAAGGATGATTAGTGGAAACAGGATGCACCTGAGCTAAATTTTGAGTGTCATGGCAAAGGCTGTGAATACTTATGTACAGGTTATGTTTTCGTTCTTTATTTTTAACAGATTTGAAAAAATTTGCAAAAAACAGTTTTCACTTTGTCATTATGGGTTGTTGTGTGTAGAATGTTGAGGACAATAATGAATTTAATCAATTTTGAAATAAGGCTGTAACATAACAAAATGTGGAAAAAGTGAAGCGCCGTGAATACTTTCCAGATGCACTGTATTTGTCAACAATAAACAAAATGGGACAAAGCACGAAATATTTACAAGACAACAAATTGAAAAATGAATGGTCCAAAAGAGGCGAGTAAATAAAAACGTGTTTTAGTCTTGCTAACTGCTTTACTGCTGTTATTAGCGAGCTAACGCTAGCTTGATCAGCTGGATGACGAGTAAACAGCAGTGGAGGCTCCTTACGTTCCTCACTTCAAAACGGGACAATGTGGTGCTCCCATGCCAGGCGCTTTTATTTTTTATTTTTGCTCAGTGCTGAGAGAACTAACTAACTGAGAGAAAACGCTGTAAAATAGTGATGTTTGATACCACTGATTTCCTTTGCGATCCGATACTAAGTAAAATTCAGGCTGGTATTGGCGATACCGATTCAATATCGATTGTAAGAGCCGATTTATGATGTATGTATCGGTTTGATGGGCGGGTCAGCCTATATAGGGTAGGAACCTTTGGGGGCTCGGGAGGTGTTTCCAGCCGGTATAGGAAAAACAGTTATTGACCGCTGGGTAGTGTCATGTTACACTCTGGGTGGATATATGTAAAACGTGTGATGAGAAGAATAAGTTGGCAAATAAATTGACTCGTTTGCATCTTAACACAACGGCAACAGGACTCTCATTCATCCCTCCATGAGACAACGGCAGTGCCTCAGTGACTTAAAGCATTGGCTTAGCTTCTACGCCAATACTTTGTGCAAATACACCTAATGTGCCTGGTAAATCTAAAAAAAAGTAGTGTATTTCATCAGTCACATATTTAGCTATTTATTTTAAACTTAAAAAAACAGAAAAACCAGAGTGTTTGAAAAAGGTGTTTCCATCACTAAAAAAAGATAAGTAAAATAATAAAACCATTAAAATAAATGAGAATAATAAACAAAAATAGACCTACTATGAAAATGAAAGCTTGCATCTTAATTCACGTTGGATGAACATGTTAACATGAAAACACTTCAACAAAAGCATCCAACATTGACACTTTCCATCATTCCATCAAGTTTTTGTTAAGGAAAAATAGCATATTTACTGTCTTTCCCTTAAGTCTGTTCTGTTTTTTGCTCAGAACCTCTCCTCCTGCCTTTGAAAAGACTCTCTCTGCCAGTACAGAAGTGGCAGTAATTCCCAGGTATCTGACTGCTAATTTGCTCAGGGCTGGGAAGGTTTGGTCATGTTCTTTCCACCAAACCAGTGCATCCCTGTCTCTGGCAATCACATTTTCTTCTGAGTACCGACGTACTTCAATGAGCACATCACTGGTAGCTGACCGGTGATGTTGTCCTCACAAAACCTGCATGTCAAAATCAGTTCATATGTCTCCTTTTGATGCAGGACTCTTGTTTGGCTCTGAGGTAGAAGGCCCTGACGTAGAAGCCCATGAGGTAGAGCTTAGCTTGGGGCTAAACTGGGGGCTGCCTGTCCTGTCTGATAGACTTCCTGTATTTCAGAAAGGAGACGCTTTTTTATTACCTTCACATTGTCTTTGTCTCGAAAACCAAGATGTTTAAACCTAAGAAGAAATGTACTGGCAGATAGACAGTAAATGCTCTCAATACCCCTGATTTCATCTCATTTAATCACAATGTATTCCTCCCTAAAAGGCAGAGGGCTGTGTTCACAGATTCCTTTTGCTCACAGAGCCTCTCCAGCATGTAAAAAACTGAATTGCAGCGAGTAGCTACTGACTGGATTAGCTTGTGCTCTGCCACTTTCAACTGTTGCTGAATTGCCCTGAGCTTCTCCGTGGCCTGTGTGCTGTGGGGAAAAAAGGACACGATGGCACTGCATTTTTCCAGCACTTTCACCACTTCCGGGACAGTTTTTAAACTGTCCTTTACAATCAAATTCAGCGTATGTGCAAAACATGGATGGTGCCTCATCTAGCCTTGTGCACTGCAAAAACCATGTTTGCACCATTGTTGACATGTTATGCCTCTGTGGACACTGAAGTCCACATATCAGTGGGAAGTACAACACTAGAAGCATTTAGCAAAGATGCCACTACTTTGCCTTTGCATTCATCAAACATTTCTACAAGATGAGTTTCTTTCTTCCTGGGAGTCTATATTTTGGGTCAAGAGCTCTCGCAAATCCTTGGAAACCCTGGTCTTCCACTATGGACAGAGGCTGGAGATCCTTCACAATCATCTCTCCCAGGCATCTTGTGAGTGTTGCTGCTCTTGGGGACTCATCTTTAAACGATTTAAAATCACAGGACAAAATTAACAAGGGGGTTACTAAATCTGTACTCAAATCCTAATCTTATTCAGTTTCAACTATGTGTGTATGCATGTATGATTCTCCAAATAGCCTAGAATAAAGGGATACAAACACTTTCTGTTATAATTGTGGGTGACTCAAGAATCGCCAGTAAAATATTTATTTAAATAGATGCCACAATATTTGCACAAGTTTGTCAATACCAACATTTTAAAATATTTATTTAACAAGTAAAGCAAATTAGACTCATTGTAAATAATAAAAAATATATAGATAAAAGTTTTTTTTTTAACCATCTTTTCCAGGAGGGCTGTCAAAATTGCTCAAAAAGGACGTTTGAATATTTGCTTTGAAAAAAGACTTGGTTGTGCATTAGGTGCGTCAATAACAGGACACATTTATAAAACGAGACATAACTACTTGTATAGGTAATTTCTTTAAGTTTAAACCTATTTTTATTTATTTATTTTTTAACATTTGAATATTAATTTTTACTATTCGAATTTAGAATATTCGTTGACAGCCCTATTTTCCAGTAGGCTATATATTTGTCTAAGTTCACCATGGCGGTTTTATTGCAGTTATCCTGTATTATTTAATGACACCTAGTCTATGTAATCCACTTTAAATGATCAATATTTTAGGAAACCTTACCTGAATAAATCTAGGCTTTATATGTGAGATTATCTCAGTGATACACATATTAGGCTATTACTTCAAGCTGAACTCATGCAGCTATTTGTTCATAACCATATTTATTACAACAGCAACAGTGCTTAGCGGCGCTTAAAGATCCCCATTTTTTCTCTGTACCTGGGTAATGTCTGCCTGCAGCACCGAAGGACTCCGCCAGAGATGTCTGCCTTGCCCTGACATAACCTGCTGCTGCTCTTCTGTCCGCCTCTGCGCAAATGTCTCATAAAAGGACGTTTGAATATTTGCTTTGAAAAAAGACTTGGTTGTGCATTAGGTGCGTCAATAACAGGACACATTTATAAAACGAGACATAACTACTTGTATAGGTAATTTCTTTAAGTTTAAACCTATTTTTATTTATTTATTTTTTAACATTTGAATATTAATTTTTACTATTCGAATTTAGAATATTCGTTGACAGCCCTATTTTCCAGTAGGCTATATATTTGTCTAAGTTCACCATGGCGGTTTTATTGCAGTTATCCTGTATTATTTAATGACACCTAGTCTATGTAATCCACTTTAAATGATCAATATTTTAGGAAACCTTACCTGAATAAATCTAGGCTTTATATGTGAGATTATCTCAGTGATACACATATTAGGCTATTACTTCAAGCTGAACTCATGCAGCTATTTGTTCATAACCATATTTATTACAACAGCAACAGTGCTTAGCGGCGCTTAAAGATCCCCATTTTTTCTCTGTACCTGGGTAATGTCTGCCTGCAGCACCGAAGGACTCCGCCAGAGATGTCTGCCTTGCCCTGACATAACCTGCTGCTGCTCTTCTGTCCGCCTCTGCGCAAATGTCTCATATTCAGTGTTGTGGTGTGGTTGGTTGTGTTGACACAACTTTTTTCGACCTTGGCTCGCTCAGTGGAAAATGTTCTGGGCTGGAGGGAAAAATGCATTGAACATCGTGTCAGAAATGCTCTGCAAAAGGATGGCTCACCGGCATAAGACTCTGGAACTGGTAGGCGGGGTTCTGACTGGGAGAGGCCGTCTGGTGGTGTGGGGGGAGCGGCTGGCGCGGGGGGCGAAGAGAGTCCTTTGAAAAGTTGGACTTGCTGGGTGAGTTCAGACACCTGCGCCAGCAAAGCCTGTACAGCTTGCCCTGTGTCGTTCAGGTGTCTCTCTTGAGCCTCCATGCGGTTGAGGCTGCTATTCAGGAATGCCTCCCTAGAGAACGAGGCTCACTCGCTGCTTCTCTTGCTTGGTCAGATCGTTCTGTCATGATCATAAAGACGTGGAAGCAGATATGCGAGTGAAAACAAAGTTTATTATGTCAGAGTCAATAATTGCAGTCCCCAAGCTCCCGAGATCCTCCTGGTGGTGGGTGGCGCATGGACGGGGTGGTCAGCCCGTGGCCCGGGGAGAGGGATGATGATGAGCCCAGAGGTAGAGAGATCCGGCGACATCGAACTCAGAAACACAGGAACACGATACGAAGCACGAGACTGGAACGCTGCCAGGAACACGACACACTCGGGAGACATCAAACAACGATCTGACAATGAGAGGAGGGACACGGTGAGAGTCTTATAAGCTGGCACGCAAAGTGTGATCAGCTGTCCCGTTGATTACGCTGGGCCGCTGACTCCGCCCACTTCACACACACCCACATAACACAACAAACACACGAGACAAGGAGAGGGCGCTGGATTCATGAACCGTGACAATCCCACAACTCAAATTCGCAGGCATCTGTAACGTTAAAATACTGCAGGTAATACTCCAGGTCATAATACAGGTAACAGCAGAGACAAGCAGAACAACCGAGCAACGCCGCAGACGTCGAGCATCAGCTTCACTCTCAGGCGTAATTTCAAATGTGACTGCACACAATTCTCATTGGCCAGTATTCTGATTGACTGTCAGATTGCCCAATTGTGTTCAAAGCAACATAGTGAGACAGCCAATAGCTTTAAGGTTGTTGTTTAAAGTGGTAACACAGCAAAAGGAGAAGATGACTTGTTTTACAATAAATAAAATAAATGTGTGCATTAGTTGTATGTGTTGGCTGTTAAATTGTATATATCCTTTTTTAAAAGGTGTTTGAATTAAATTATTTTACCTTAATTTTACATTTTTTGCCAGTCATTTGACCGTTTTTTACTTTTACAGTGTAATGTCTTGGCTCAGGAACTATGTGTGCAGTCGTCTCATGTTGCTCCTCTAAAAGATGTATAACGTATCTGTACTGTACTTCAAAAAAAAAAGTGTTAACATAAATAAACAGCCAGCCAAACTCCTTTTCAAGAGCGTGCTTGCTCCTTTTAATATCCACATACCATTTTGGTAACGTTGAATCAGTAAAAACTAGAAACGAGAATACAAAACATCTTAATCAACTGAAATAGAGAAACTTAACAAAGTTACTATTCTACATCAATCCTACATTCAACAGATAATGAACATAAACACTTACAGCCATTGCTTTTCTGGGGAATTTAGAGAAAGGATTGATGTAGATTGTATATAAATGCTACACGGCTACGATTACGCCCTCTGCCGTTTACCCTCAACTTCCTACTACTACGCAGGATTTTAGAACGTGCAACATTTTACAAACGGCGCCTTTACAAACGGCCCTTTTACAATAACACCTCAAATAGAGGCACATTTCATTTTGAAATGCGGTCCGCATGACCGCAGTGGAGGGGGGTTCACGGGCGCGGAACGTCGCGCAACCCCCCCTTGACCAGACCATCGGCAACGATTTGGCCGCGACGGTGAAGGCGGGGGGGGGGGGGGGGCACGGACCGTAATTATTGTAATGTTCAGTCGTCAAGTCTTAAATGTTAAATGTAGACTCATTTAACATTTACATTTGGATTTAACATTTACATTCATATTTAACATTTAGATATAACATTTAACATTTAGATTTAACATTTACATTTAGATATAACATTTAACATTTACATTATTTAACAACTTTGTTACTGCCAAACATTATCCTTGGAAAAGTTATTGCATGAATGTACATGAATTTCTCTCTAAATGTTTGAAAAAGTGACATGTGAATATTGTCGTGCTTTTTTGTTCATATGATAATGCTAAATGTGGAAAAACTGCGCAGGATTTTAGAACGTGCAACATTTTACAAACGGCGCCCCATATTTAGAAAACATTTGCTCATGTATGTTAACGAATTTTTCCACTGATCTGTGATAGAAATGCAACTTCTATTCCAAACATTCTATTCCATAACATTCCATGTTTAGAAAATATTGCAGAATTTGTGTATTTTCCTTTTCAGATATGGGGGAAAGACGCATAGGGAATAAGTCTGTCAGATACCCTCTTGCAACAATATCGCTTTGAACCAGAAGCAGACCCTGAACAAGAAGAGGCACTCGAAAAAGTTTGAGAATTTAGGGTTCAACAGGATGTATATGAAGGATTTGGCAAACAGCTTATTCTAATTCTAGCCGGGACATGGTCTTCATATATGAAATTAATCCAGTGTTTCCCCAACCATTTTATGGTACCGGCACCGCTGTCCATTTACAATTATCCACTCATCTCTGCACACAGGAAAGTTCGGTCCCGATGTGCACACAGCAGACGCGTGCGTGCATACACAGCGGCTAGAGAGTGTGCATTAAAAAATGACAGTGTTGCATACGTACAGGGGATGTGGTGGGTGTGGGTGAATATGGTGGAGGGAGGGCCAAGGTGATGTAAGGGAGACTCGCACTTTGTCTGCTGACGTCGGAAAATCACGGAACTGCTTTCTGTTTTTCATTTTTTTAAATTCATTACAGGAAGCTGTTTTTTCCAGCATTTGGGGGTTTGTAGACATGCAAGGCAGCCACATTAACGTACAGAAAACATTCAAAGTGGAATTTTCATGATATGTTATGTGACAAGTATACATGCAGAAGTTCTTGTACTAATTTTTTGCTAATACATTCATGAATTACCTACATTTTGGACAAAGTTTTTGGGGGATGTATCACAACCCTGGCTCAAACAGCACATCCATGCAGCAGGTTCTATTACCAAATATTGTTTAATATTTTTTCAGACTAAACCTACTCAACGTTTTACTCTGCTAAAAAGTTGCATATTTATTTAAAACAGTTAATATTTCTGACTGGCTAATATGTATTTTTATTTTGTAGATATCAGATCCACACTGGCCTTCAGCACTCCATCATTCGAGCTACCCAGCCCAATTGCCTGCCCCTGGAAAATGTCACCCTGCCCCAAAAGCTCAAGCAAGCCGGATACTCCACCCACATGGTGGGCAAATGGCACCTGGGCTTCTACAAGCGCCGGTGCCTGCCCACCCAGCGTGGCTTCGACACTTTCTTCGGATCCCTACTAGGAAGCGGGGACTACTACAGTCACTATAAATGTGAAGGACCCGGTATGTGTGGCTATGATTTGTATGAAGGAGAAGAGGCAGCTTGGGAACAGGACCGCGGCTTGTACTCAACCATGATGTTTACTCAAAAAGCTATCAGCATCCTAGCTGATCACAACCCTCGCGTACAACCCTTGTTTCTCTACTTAGCCTTTCAGGCGGTTCATTCCCCACTGCAAGTTCCTGCCCGCTACCTTGAGCGCTACAAGGGCATTCCAAACTTGCATCGTCGAAAATATGCCGCTATGGTGTCCTGCCTAGACGAAGCTATCCACAACCTCACGTTAGCGCTAAAACGCTACGGTTATTATGACAACACAGTTATAGTCTACTCCTCAGATAACGGAGGCCAGCCATTAGCAGGTGGAAGCAACTGGCCCTTGAGGGGGAGTAAGGCCACCTACTGGGAAGGGGGGATTCGGGCGGTTGGCTTTGTTCACAGCCCCCTGTTGGTAAACAAAGGCACAAAATGTCGATCATTGGTCCACATCACTGATTGGTTCCCTACACTGGTGACCCTGGGCGAAGGGACTTTGGACGAAGACCTAAATCTGGACGGGTACGATGTCTGGGAGGCTATCAGTGAAGGCCGTCCATCTCCTCGCCAAGATATTCTTCACAATATTGACCCAATCTACATCAAAGCCAAAAACGGTTCGTGGAAGGCCGGGTATGGCTTATGGAACACTGCCATCCGGGCTGCGCTACGGGTGGGCCACTGGAAGCTCTTGACGGGTGTTCCCGGTTACAGTGACTGGGTGCCCCCACAGACCTTCTCCATACAGCGGCTAACCAACCGCTGGCATAAGGAGCTTGTCCATTGGGGCCGAGGTAAATCCATCTGGCTGTTCAATATCACAGCCGACCCTTATGAGAGAGTAGACTTGTCCCAGCGGTACCCTCACATAGTGAAGGAGATGCTCATACGCCTAGCACAGTACAACAAGACTGCAGTTCCAGTGCGGTACCCAGCTAAAGACCTGCACTCCAACCCTCAGTACAATGGGGGGGTGTGGGGACCCTGGTACAAAGAGGGGCAGGAGAAGGATGAGAGATACAATAACTTGTTGACCAACCATCTTGGAAAAAGTAGGTGGAAAATAAAATCAAAGAGCAGAAAGATAAAAAGGAAGGAAGAGTAGTAGCCTACCCAATTCGTTGAAGGCTTTTCTCAGGGACTGACACTTCCTGTTTCAGGATTGTCCTCTAAAACAGTCTAACTCAAGTTAGTTTTAACTAGACTCCACTATATGCAAAACAGTGGGCCTTTTGAAATGCCTCAAAAGAAGAAAAAAAAGATCTTATTTAAACACTGTTCTCATGTACAGACACAACTTAGACCTCATATATTTGTTAATACTATGGGAATTTGTAGAAGATTTTCTAGATTGTTGCATGCTTGAACTTGTCACCTTTTGTCAACTTTTGAATGTCCCCTAGATTCATGTTTCACAAAGTAGAAAATAAAAATTCACCTTGACAGTCGCCATAAATTGTGGTGACAGAAATAAAATGAGGCCTAGTTCTTTTATGTTTTGGATTAGAATAAAGCAGTATCGTGGAAACGGATGTGACTTGACTTGATGTATGTAATCTGTCAAAACTTTAGAGTAAAATATTTAGTTCCCTCTTTTAGATAATGTTGTCTGGCACCAGTCCAAACTGAATGTAAGACAAGCTAACTAAATAAAAGCCACAAAAAGCCACAAATCTCTTCCAGCAGTCTTTTTGCTGAGTCTGGTTTGCATTTTATTACAGTCGGGTATCATGTATTCTGACGACAATAAGTGCAATAACTAGTTTTAACATCTTTTTCATATTAAGATGTGTAAATCAAATATAGTAAATAGAAACATGACTGAAAACCTAAAAATGACCTCCAAACGACTCATGGCATAATCTACCGTATGCTGTGAAATAGAATTATTGACATTGGAGTGAACATTAGCGTTGCCAAGCACCTGTGTAAAGTCCCCCAACTCCCAAGCTCAAAACGTTGATTTGCAACTTGAGTTTGGGAAGTAGATGCTTCGGTGTATTTTATTGTCCAATTAGACACTAATTTACTCAACAATGTTTTGTTCCCTGATGTATAGTTGACTAAAATGTAATGTATTTTTAGTTAGGGGGGGGGGGGGGGGGGGCTTTCCCATAGTTGCACTGCACATCCCTCCTATTCACACTAACTGGGATCCCCCTGCCTTTTCCCTGTACTTAGAGCCAAGAAATGACCTCAGCCCATTCAGGCACTGACTCATCTTTCACTGCGAAATTGGTTAACAGTTCATGCTGATGTGAAGAGGGGAGCTCTGTAAATCCAATGCAGGTGAGGTATTTGGGTTAATAATACTGTTTTTCCTCAGCTGCTCTACATTTATTTGTTTCCAAAAACCAGATTATACTCATGGGAAACAGCACATACCAGTCCCAGCTCCAATCTTGACCATAAAACAAGATATGTCCTCCATGTCAATAGCTACGGCTGAGCATTAAAGAAGATAAGAATCTTAATTTGTTAATGTGCCCCCCTCCCCCTCGCCCCCATGGGCCATAGGAGCAGTTAAACCCTGAAATCTTTGGTAATTTATATTGGACAGTTATGGGCACTAGCATCCCTTTTGTGTGAAAAAAGCAAGGGTATTTTTTTCCTGTAACTGAGCTCTAAGGCAATACATCAATCATCCTCATCTTGCCGCCTCATAGTATGATTGCCCAATGTGAACGTTATGAGGAAAAAAAGCTGATGGATGGCACAGTTCGAAAGCTTTGATCAAAGCAAAGTGACACAGAATGATTTTGCCGGACAGTGTTAATCATGATGCAAAAATGCAAGATTATGTGTTTCATTACATTACATGCCATTTAGCTGACGCTATTATCCAAAGCGACTTACAATAAAGGCAGGTTTCCAACTGGAAAGAGCTGACCACCTCGCTGCCACCTCGAAGAGCTACACACATTGCACCATGAATCTGATGGGACCTAAAGCATCCCTCCCAAAGCATGTATTGAAAAACACACATATAAAACAGCTGTAACCCAGGAGAATCCGAATTATACAGAAACCATGACTGTATCTTGTGAGCACCACCCAAAACACCAAATTCAAAGCACATTTAAAGCATGCGTTGCATGCTTTCAGAGCTTTACACATTGCTGGGTGGTGCTTTCCAGCTTCTTGGCAAAGGTATGACATTCCAATTGTAAAAGCTATTTGAGCATTTTCTTTTTTCAAGTGGATATACAAGCAAAATGAACTGACAGAGATGTCATAGGAAGTCTTGCCAAGGTCTATAAACATCTGCAAAATTAAAATTATACTTCCATTATCTTGTAGGAACTATGTAGATGTTCAAATTAGAATACATGCTGTGCTGTTTTAATTACGATATGAGTTAAACCTACTTTGAAATTTTTTGTTTGTTTGTTTAGTCTTTTTGCTTTCCCTCACCACAGGTTTCTGTAGATGCAACATTGTTTTTGTCTTTTCCACTACCTTTCATAAAAGAAAGGCAATAAAAAAAAACTAATTTTCAGTGTGGAATCAAAACACATCCACATTGCTCTCTTCACTCTCTTGTCAAACTGCCGTTGTACAAGTTCCCACTGGGTCTTCACATGGACCTTCCCTCGATGCCTCTCTCACCACCAGATAGAAATGTTGGATTGTCTGAACTCCACATGCTAACTGCAGCTCGCTACACTAACACTATGTGACGGAAACGGTACTGCTGTACTAAATGCTTCAGTATCAAAATGACTTAACTGTGTATTTAATGACAGATGTGTATGATTGCCCCTGTGTACTAATGGAGAGAACGTTTACCCTCCTCCTTCTGCATTTGATGATGTTCTTTTATGACTTTGTCAGCAAATGTAATCCAACCATTTGGCAATACCTCAGATTGCCACTAGATGGTATTCTGAGGCCCAAAGGTTGAGTATAGCTGCTTCAGTGCAGCAGCCCCCAAATTTTTTTGCGTCACAGACCCATTTCATGTCAAATAACATTTACGTGGACCAGTTTTCAAGGCGTAGGGGATAAAGATGAGAAAATAAAGTGATCCAACTGGCATACAAACAAATAATAATGAAAAATGTTCTGGGTAGGGCAATCAAATCAATTTCAGAAAACATCCCAGATTTAATGCAAAACAATTAAGGTATCAATATTTATTCCAACAAGAAGAAAAAGCAGTAAATAACAATCTTATTTTTGTCACCATCACAGGCAATGCAGTATTATATATATATATATAATATAAAAGATAATCAGTATGATTAAATATATACTGCTATGTAGAATACATTCTGAGAATACTGTAAATATAACTGAAATGTAAATAAAGAGTACAAAACAAAAACAAGATACAATGGGCCTGCAGGACTCATGAGGTTGTGGGGCCCTGTAGTAGCTGCTTGCTCTAGAGTCTAGATGGTCTGTCCTTAGTATAGAATTATCTGCATAGCTAGTGTAGCACTTATCTGGGGCTAGTATTAGAAAAAACACTAAATATCTAGATTCTAAGGAGAGGTAGGACTAAGACAAAGAACAAGTTGAACAAACGGCCAGTTTATTGCTTCACTTCAATTGGTCATGCAACAATCACAGTATAAAACACTGTAAAATAAAAAAGGAAGAGTAGATTGTTGGAAATTGTATGATTCTTGTAAAAAGAACTCAGTCTTTTCAGTGTGTGTATATGTATATTTTACAGGATATAGTCTGTTCAGTCCATGAAATAGTGTGTGCTTGAAAGTTCCACGAGTTCTGTTCTGGTCCGGGTTTTTATGTGTACTGTAGCTTACTACCTGTCTACCTGATGGCAAGACTGGGGTCTGATGTCTTCTTGATAAGCGAATCAGGTACGGTCTGGATGATACGGTAGGCCACACGATCTGGGTTTAGCTTGCCATCTCTGCGTTCAGATTCACAGAATTCAGATTCTTGCATAAACAACAACAATCTACACAAAGTGCAGAATAATCAATGTGTTTTCTAATTATATTTCTTACATGAGATCTCATTAATTTATGTTCTATATGTGTAACCATTACTTTATTATTATTTCACATCACTAAACACATCACATCATCTGTTTTACACATATTTGTTCATCAATATGTTATGTGATAATTAATTACTATATCATATCACTATACTTAAACATGAGAATAATTTACAGTATTCAGGTTCTATGCATCTGCAATGCACTTGCATAGTAAACCATTGCCATCTGCTACTAATGTCAAGCTGCGTAAACAACTCATTCTATAACATTCCAAATCGCAATGCTGACTAGCTGTGCTAAGTCAGTCAAGACATTAGCTGTAAGGCTCAACGTTACCTCCACGATACAGTGAGCACCAGTGTGGGGGGGTTAACATTCACTCTTTCCATCTATAACATTAAACATGGTGTTAACTATGATAACAGGCTGCTAAAGTTCGTTGGTAACAATGATAATTACTATGTTATTACTCTGATTGGTTTTAAAGAGGTAATCTTTCAAATAGCAACTTAAAAGCAGTATTAGTTCTCTCCCAAATTCTCTAGCATGATTCTAGTAGTGACTAGCAGTGACTAGCTAAACGTGTTCACTCACCGGAGTTTCCAGTATTGGATTATTCTACGGAATTACTTCAGTTGACACTCTCAAGTTGTTGGAAAATAGTCTTATTAGTATAATAACATGTAAACTATTAGTATAATGACATGTAAACTATGGTAATATTTTGAATGTTTTATGTTATTTTATACCGAAATCCGGGAGCTTCTTTCTTTCACGTCTCATGGGAAAATCTTGGAAGGATAAAAGGATTTCTTATTCGTGGGAAGTTCCCTTGAACGGAATGCAAGTACGCCCTCTTTAGGCAATAACTTTGACTACTCCTGATATTAGTAGCCATAATTTCATGAGGGTTACAACAGTTCTAACTGAAAATGTTTTCATCTGGGAGGAAGTGGAACTAAACCCAATCAAGTGTTAGTTAGTTATAGCGTCTTTTCAGAACAGGAGACGTGGAGTGTTTTGCATCCTGAACGATTCAATTTATTTTATTTTGTATAGCCTAAAACCACAACATCCCAATTTATCTCAGAGGACTTTACAATTTAACATCCTCTGTCCCGAAAACACTCACATCGGTGCAGGAAAAACTCCCCCCAAAATGAAAAAAAACAGAGTAGACAAGTAGATAAAAGGAAGAAACCTATAGAGAACGGCAGGGGAGGGATCCCTCTCCCAGGATGGACAGAATGCAATGGGTTGTCGCAAAGGAAAAGCGGCTCTACTCCAAGTTCCTCACGGATGGCTTAGCTTCTCACCCTATCTCTAAGTGGCAGCCAGCTACCTTCATGAGAGAACACATTTTGGCTGCTTGTACCTGTGACCTGTGACTAGTTCTTTCCGTCATGACCCATCCTTGATAACCATAGGTGAGTAAAGGAACGAAGATTCACTAGTAGAGAGCTTTATCTGCGAAAAGCAGCGATGACATCCACCGCATCCCGAACGGTAAACCCTCCTCCCCCCCGACTACACCTCAATATCCTGTCCATGAATACCACAAAGACCTTAGATTAGGGAAGAATTCTAAAACCGTTACACATTAAAACGAGTGTCTCAAGAACATACTACTGTACACACTAATCATTGCAGTAGGCCCATGGGATGCTTGACAGGTAAATCCTGCCCCAGTGGCTAAAATGAATAAGGCCCTTTGGGGTCAATTTCCAGCTTATTGAGAGCAGTGTTGAGAGCTAAAGGTGAATGAGTTGAAAGGATCTATGGTTTGAGACATCCTCTGCTCCCAGTGCTTTAATGGCTGCTGTGCAGTCTCTTCCAATTCTATGTAACACAGTGGATTAATTCAGCATTTGTAGTGCCTCTTGTTATCATGCTTTTCAAGACCAATTTGTTGAGACAATGTGGACCTCCAGGAATTTCAATTATTAATAATACGTGTTGAAAATCTCAGAGAGGAAGCTAAAAATAAACTGGAAACTCATGATCAATGAAGCTGCTGCAGAAAAAGAGACAGCACAGGATCAGCAATGCTTTCTGGTTACAAACATTAGTTTCTATGTACCAACTGAATATAGTTAGTTGTCTAAATTCGATACTCTTGGGTCATAACAATACAATACAACAATAATATCAGAATGGGTGTTCTTTCATTCTCAAATCCGGCTCCATACAGAAGGGAGGCAGCCTTGAGATGGCGCTGCTGTGTAGCAGATTCAACTTACTTCATCATACTACCCACAGCATACCAAGAACAAAACGGATCTTATGTTATGTTACCTCCAGAATAAAGTAATGGATTCAAGTTGGCCATTCAGTGACCAACTATGAGCTAAATAACAACATGCAAAATTAAATAGAACAAAATAATAATTAACAAAGGGGGTTTACCAAACGGTCGTCATCTTATTGATTAAGCAGAGCTTTTAAATATTGTTCTACCTTAACCTCGATTTTTTCTAACATATACAATTGGTGTACTTTACACAACAACAGGATTTAGAAACACACACATGACGACAGCAACTAATTAGGTTTCAATGGAGTACAAATAACATTAAAAACTGATTAAATTGGGTTTGAAATGACCAAAAATAATGCAGAATAAACATCCATCCATAATTTTTCCTCCGCTCATCCGGGGTTGGGTCGAGGTGGCAGCAGGCCCAGCAGGTTCCCTTCCTCTTCATATACAGCATTTTCCAGTTAATTCTGGGGGATCCCGAGGCATTCCCGGGCCAGCTGGGAGAGACAAGGTGTCCTGGGTCTTCCCCAGGGTCTCTTACCAGTTGGGCGTGCCCAGGAAACCTCCAGCGGGAGGCATCCTAGTTACATACAGGTCGATGTGTTGTTTTATTTTGAAATCACCCACCGGATAACCAATGTTGTATGTTAATTAGAACTTGACTGCGTTCAACTATTGAACAACAGCAGATAACGACGTCCCTGTCAACTCCAGGAGGAACCGGGAGGAGCCGAGAGTTTTCTTGTACTTTCACTTTTGCGTCACAGTCGGAGGGGATCAAGACTATTCCCGGAGTGAATTAAAGCCAGTGAGGCATCAGAGTTCCGCTACCCTTACCATGGCTTCAACGACCTGCACCAGGTTTACTGATGAGTACCAGCTTTATGAGGAGCTGGGGAAGTAAGTTCTTTAATGTTCTACAGTTGCATACGTAAATCGACGAGAAGCGCCGTGTCGCTCTGTTGCGACTTTCCGTAGTTTAATTCAGACGCTACCTGGTCCTAACTGGATCAGTTTGGTGAGATCCGGGGGCAGAAAGGACGCCCCGACAAATCCCGTTCAAATGTATTAACTTGTTAGGAAAACTAGCGCAAGCGTCAAAAAAAGTCATTGCTTCCAAGTCTCGCTCCACTTTTTGAATCCGTACGTTGTCGCTGCTCGTTAACGCCCATCGCGTGCATCGTGGAGGAAGGTTCCCTGCATGATGCCTAGCACAGACTTCTTGTAGGAAACATTTCTTCTTTATTCAAGCGTAAACCCCACCATTGAGTAATGTATAACACATACAGACTGCCACTGTGACGCGTCATGATTTAACAATAATCCTGGACCACTTTCCGGCAGACATCCTCATAGACGACTAGCCCGGCGCGTGAAAGGCAGCAGAGACCTAGGTGGATGCAGTTTGGATTGGTGGAAGTGTTCTGTCGATTTTTGCTGCTTTGTCGGGAATTGCTACCGGTGTTACACCCCTACTGGTTTTTCCACCTACTGGTTTCCCTACGCGTGCGTGTTTGTGTTTACTCCACAGCTGCAGATGTGTCCGCCTCAGTTCCCTGATTCGTCACACATTCACAAACATATTGCTGAAAATCTTCAAAACGCATCACAAATCCATTGCAGCGTTTACGATTGTATAAGTGAGCACCACATCACAGCCACGTATGAAAACATTTACATTAAAAAAACCGGTGGATCAAAACATCAAAATATCAACCTGGTGGCTGCTGTTAGCAGTGCGCCACGGAGACTCACAGAAATTTGTTGACCCTTTGTATAATTTATTCATTTCGTTGACGTAGATCAGCATAGAGGAAACCTTTTGGTGTCGTGGATCTAAAACTGATTAGCGTGTCTTGGAACACTTCAGGACATGTGCAACGCTACTTCTTCACAAGGCTGCAGCCTTGCATCGACACATTTTGATAAAAAAAGGATATTGTTTTCTTACGGCCATCGCGTGATGTAAACCACAGACACGAACAAAACAAAGTTAAGAAAATATATTAAAAGATCGAACCGACCAGGTTGCGAACCCATGCAGCAAAATGCAAACGCATCATGCTGCTACTCGCGCTGCGCCACAGGGCAGTACGCTTGGACTGGTCTTAATATATTAATGCAAGGTGATTGGCATGGAGGAAACCTTCTGGTGTCGTGGATCTGAAACAACTGGTTACCATGGGCGTGTCTTGGAACACATCCAAAGAAATGTATCGATTCTTAATTGTCACCCAATTAAAGTTAACAAGCAGCATCCCTATAAAAACGCCATGAGGTCGAACATACGATCTTTCCGAACAAGAGATGTACCCACAAAAAGTGAAGGAATTGAGTGAAACAGATTGTACACTTGCAAAACTTCTATTAGGAATCAAATACCTTATAAAGCTCCCAAAAGGAAATTTTATTAAATAATAGTGTTTTAACAGTCACAATAAATAAATCATTGAAAAACAAAATAAAGTAGCTCTAAAGAAAGCATGCTGGACAGCAGAAGTCCTGCTCCAAAGGTGGTTTCCCAGTGCAAACCCAGTGGAACCACAGATGGATGTCATGGAAGACACGCCCAAGGTAACCAGTTGTTTCAGATCCCCTCCACCAGAAGGTTTCCTCCATGCCAATCACCTTCTATTAATATATTAAGACCAAACCCAGCGTACTGCCCCGTGGCGCAGTGCACAGAGCGAACAGCAGCGTGATGTGTTTGCATTTTGCTGCATGGGTTCGCAACCTGGACGGTTCGATCTTTTAATATATATGTGATGTGGTGCTTATACAACCCGCCAATGACAGGTTGTATAAGCGGGTTGGATTCATGGAGGGAGATCTCCGCAAACGTCGGTTTGCCGGTCGAGAGGTGCACAAAGTTGTGGAGGAAAATACGGGACAAATGTGTCCGCGATGAAAAGCAGCAGTGGCGATGCACGGGGCAATAAAGACTATGATAAATAAATAAACAAACCAACGACTTCCACATACAAAGAAGTGACTCTCTAGGTCAGGGGTGCTCAATACGGCCAGTTGATCTCAAAGGCAGTACCAGTCGATTGCGTGCCATCGATAAAAAAAATGACGTCACGTCACACATGCACAGTCTACCGCGGGAGATGACCAAAAGTAATGGTAATGGGGTTTAGCAATTCTTGCTTACTAACGGACAGATTTCATTTCCTCCCAAAGCAACCCAGGCTGACTCCCGTAAGGTAATGACCAAGAATGTGCGCTCGTTGTTTTCTTCATACCGACTCCTTATGACTATTTACCGGTCCCCCCCGTCAGCCGGCATCGCCATGACCTGGTTAGTTGAAAAGTAGCTTGCGAGCCGTAAAAGTGTGGGCACCCCTGTTCTAGGTCATATTCGACAAAAAACGTTACTCTACCTATTGTTCTGGCGGTGAATTGCTCTGCAACACGCGGACGCCTTTTAGAACCATGAATTGAAACTAGTGCGTTGACACGACTGTGGGTAAAGACGCAGAAGCATGCTTGTATTAAGTGCTCTCGCGTTGGCTTCTTTGTAATGTTGTTGTGAGCTACAGAGCTGCCAACCTTTCACAAAACCTTGGAGTGAGATGTTGTCGGGTGAACTCTGCGACCGACTGGGGGGTGTAAGTTACGCTACGTGTAGTGGATCGGGTTACAGATGCGCCATTTACTGTCGGCGAGGTTGGAGACAGACATTTTTAGCGTAGGGTGTGTGGTGAGAGTGCGTGAAAACATGCAAACCGTGAGTGTTGGCAGCCCTGTAGCTTTGTTGGCTAGCTTGACAAAAACAATCAAACATCAAGCAAGTGCAACACAAGACAAAGCAAGACAGCAAATAAGTTACTGAATAGTCCAGCAGAAATATATACACGCAAAATAACCTACAATTTCACTCATGTGGGCCTATATGATCATGAGGTCAGAATGCACACAAAATTGTACCAAATAATACACACTTGATACAATAGGCTACATGCTGGTGGAGCCTGACGGTAGATCTTGACCCAATTCCTTTTTATTTTTGGTTAAGGAAATATGAATGTGAGAATATCAAACTCTATATGCAAGTAAATGAAGCATTGTTTATCCCACAGACAGTCAAACAGAGGCCAGGTAAAAAAGGGAACCTTACAGATGTTTTATTTATTACTATCATAGATAAATATTCCAGTTTTGCATTTGTGGTATCGTAAGTATCGGGTACTGTAATATTTTGGCAGGTATAGTATTGAAGTCATAATTTTGGCCTTGTGACAACCCTAGCAACATTTTCTTTAAAAAAAGAACAAAACAATGGACAGTAAAAACCCTGCTTACTCTACTATTTGTTTTGTATTCATTTTGCGTAACTGCTTTATTTGTCATCTAACGTCTAAACATTTGGAATAACACACATATACAAATACATTAAAAAAAAACATTTTAATGTTTGAATTTTGGCTGGGGAGGCAGTGCCTACCTTGCCTAAACAGACTGCACGTCACTGGTTCCTACGGAAAGAGGACTCAAAAGGACTTGTACACTAAGATCATCTTTTATTAGTGACACAGTGAGATTAAACAATTATACTGTATAAACGTGCACGTGTGTGACTTCTGCAGGGGGGCTTTCTCCGTGGTGAGGCGCTGCATGAAGATTTCCACAGGGCAGGAATATGCCGCCAAAATCATCAATACTAAGAAGTTGTCAGCCCGTGGTGAGTAGATGCTGCCCTGTGTTGTGGGGTCACTCTGTTTTAGCTTTCTTTTTTGTGGCCAAGTCACCTCTCAAACCCACTTCGTAATTTTTTTGGATGAAACCTGTTCTTTCTCATTAATCTGTAGTAGCAGAAGGTCTTGGCCTACACCCCCTTCCCCCACCCCCGAGGTCGCTGCAGAAATATTTTATGCAGTCCATTTTGGTGACCCCGCTCAACAAAGTGAGCCAACAACTCCCTTTGTCGGACGTCCTCATAGTGGCGACAGCTTTGTGAAGACAAGATGGAACACAGCAGTTGAATTTGAACAAATTGTCGGAAACGAACCATGACGTAGGTGGAGAGCTGGCGGAGGTGCGAATGGCCCTAATTAGCATATGAATGCAGCGAAACCGCGGGTGGCCGAGCCGAGCGGGCTTGAATATCCTTACTCCTTAATGGATGAAACCACAACTTACTAACAAATAAAATCACTCGTGATTGGCAGCAAAACCACACCTGGGCAGACCAGGCTTGAGTTTCCTTGTTCATGATTGGATGAAAGCACAACTTTCAATCACTCGTGATTGGTTGGCAGATCTGATCCGCCTGATTTTATTTATATAAATTTATATATTCATATTATGCTGTATATTCATTTCATGGTTATCCTATGTAGGCTACTACACTATTATTAGGATACCAACCAGGACATCAATGAATTTATAGAGAAAATGAACATTTTCCACATGTTTATGCAAAGAAAGAGCTTTGTTAACAACACACAATCAACAACTATATACAAAGTGAGGATCTGCCCACACTTAAAGGCGGTTTAAAAAACTACAACTCAGTAAACTGTCTGTTTGCCTCCTCGGGGTTGTAGACCGTCACTGGCGCCGTGTTTTCTGAGGCAGGTCTGTTGTGCAGGCGCCTAGTGTGCGGGGATCTGTATTTCTGAGTCGTCTCTAACTGGGACCGTACAATCCACCCCGAGACCCCGCCAACAACGCCATCCTCTCCGTCCGACGTGAGCTCTACGGTGGCGGATTGCCAGAGTTCCACCTCGTCATCAGCCAGCACACTTTGTCTCGATTCCAGCAGCTGTAAAAACAACAATGAATAAGTACTGTGCGATGCGTACGGACACAACACATCTATCAATGCACCTGAAAAAAAGTCAGCAAATAAACTCTGACCCTCTTTCTTCTCGCTCGACTCCGCGCTGAATCCTTCGCAGCTTCCGCCCGCAATGAGTGTTCCGGCTGAACCTGAAGCTCCTGCGTACCGTCTCAAAATACGTCTTACAGGCGGCTGGAAAACAATTAAATGAGTGTGGTATGAATACAAAAAAAATCAAACGCAAGTCACAGTAACATTTAACAAGGAAGGAGAAACGGTAAACAGTGTCACTTACACACAATGACGTCGTCTAAATCTGGACTTTTCCTGGAGCAAATACGAGGTCACCGCCTCATTATGAGGCGAGATTAGTCTGTGAAAACAAAATGTACAGTTATGATCGGTATCTATACGTATATATTTCCTTATACCGCAGAATGAAAGCATATTCTTTAAATCTTACCCTTGCTCCGGTTGGTGGCGCCTGTAATTCGTCTCGGAGTTGTGAAGACGGCGCACCGCTTCCTGTAAACGACACGGCAAAGAAAATAGACTTTAATAAAGCTGTTTCTGCTCACTTGTAAAGCTACTAGGCTACTCTTAGCTTAGCTTGAGGCTATGCTACTTTTAGCTTAGCTTGCAGTCATCGAACGTATTCTTACCGCTATCTTGGGATCGTGCGCCCGTCTCCTCTTCTTTGAGTCGGTTCCTCTCCTCCATGGACAGAAACCCGCAAAGTCCCGAACGCTCCAGTGGAGCGAACCGCTCGTTGATATCGGCAGTTTGTTGTTGGAGTTGACGAGACAATCCACTGGGAGCATTCAGCAGTTTCTTCTCGTCTGTCTGCGGACTGGCCGAAAGTTGGTGACCGCGGAGAGGAGTTGAAGGCGAGACGTCGTCCAGCCATTATTCACGAAGCAGCAAAAACCAAACAAAGGAACTGGAGATACAGTTCTTCTGAATATAGTAACACACTGTTTGTATGCTCGTCTTGCAAGTACTGCTTGGACGAGGAGTCTAAGGGTCCTCCAATCACATACGAGGTTATTGTTATTGTTGTATAAAGCAGTTTATAGTTGTTAATGTTGTGTCAAAGGGTACGGCATTTAAACATGTTCTTGCACAAGTTTCCTGGCTTCATCTCCACCCGGACAGACATTTTTATGGAAAGCCAATAGAAGTTTGGGGCTTGCAGACACACAGACACGTCATAGACACGTCATACCCAGCATCATTTCTGCCAGTTGAGCGCATTGCTAGAAGATGTGTGGTTAATACATCCTCTGTGCATTTAAGTAAGACCAAAGAAAAGGTCACTGTAGTCCTGCCACTATGCACTGTAGTTGAGCTCTAGGAGACTGTGATCTCTGCAGACCCCTCATGCTGATTCAAATGTTGTTTGCATGGAATGCTCATTTTACCTTGATTAAAACTAATTTTTTAAAGAAGTTATTTTGTGTATCTTTTTTACATAACATTTGCCATTGCTAATGGCGTACACAGTAATCTAGCATATTTGAATTAAATAAATCAATTCAAGCTCAAATGTAAGAGTCTATAATTAGGCTACTGAGCCTGATCTATTTGTACCAGAGATTTTCTTACCTTTTAAAAAAATGTCACCTGGGCTAAAACTCCCTCTGCGACCCTGATTTGAATGCTGTATAGCTAACAGCATTTTCATTTACATGTCAAAGCCTCCCCTAGAATTAGGAGGAGGGGGGTCATGGGGGGACAACTGCCAAGGGAGGCCCACATCAATTTCTGACAATTTACGGCAGTTTTCGGCGTTGCCCGCAAATTGCCGTGAACAGCCGCAAACCTGAAATTCCACGACAATTTACAGTGCCGCATACTGCCGAAAATCCCACTTTTCATGCAGTGGTGCATGCTGACTAGGGCTGTCAAAATTGCTCAAAAATGACATTCGAATATTTGCTTTATAAAACCACATATATTCGAATATATTCAAATATCTGGTTGCGCATTTAACTACTTGTATAGATAATTTATTTAAGTTTAAACATATTTAACAACATATTACCTACACAAAAATAAGTAAATTAACTAATGGCCAAGGCCGCAGACCTCTCGCTTGCACACATGCTCTCTGCGCATAGCGGTTTAAATGAACAACAACAATAAACAAATGCTGAATGCTGATCAAGAGTTTTTTGCAAGCAATTTAAGGTCGCGGCAGAGGAGTGAACACTTGTAAACGTGATGAGGGCGATATATAAAGTCCCATTCACCTGTGTTTCTTGCTGCACCATGGCATGCCCATTTCTGAACGACGTTTTGAATGAAGAAGCACTGATATTGAGACGTGCTTTCAGATGTGAGAGGGTGTTTTGGGACACTTTACAGTAAAACAGCACATTTAGCACATAAACGGCAATAAAACCAATAAAACCAACACATAAAACTAAACAAAAAATTAAAACAGTGTACTACTTTCCTAGTAAGTAGATATTTTGGTCGGTCCGCGATTGTCTGCCATGCTTTTACTCTGCGTTTAATAACAGCAGCCGTATTTCCTTTTTTGTACACTCGATGCTTCACCCTCTCATAAGTTTCCATAATTAGTTGCTGGTCAGCGCGTGAAAAATATGCCGCACGCGTCTTCTCCATTTCTGCATCACTAAATCTGTGATCGCTACTGTTGGTCTATTTAAGAAAGCTGTGAACGTGCCTGATCCCAGCTATTTACACCTGGATTGATTTAGCTTCACCTTCTCATCCTGGCTCGGCAAACGTGTAACCAATTAAGCCGCGATGAGCCGATCATCCTAAATCAAGCTGCGCTTTTTCAGTTATCCTGGATTTCTTTATTGACTGGGATAGGAGGGATCATCAACAAGTAGCGCTGTTTATTTGCGGACCCTTTGCAGAATTTTTTTCTGGAATATTCAGTTGAAATACAGTACACCATCACAGTTCTTTTAAAAAAGTGTACATTGATAATCTGCTTGCTGTAGGGACACACATTTCTGCTTCCTCATCAGCCTCTACGGTCCAGGTGCATCTGCTTTGGCAAAAGTGGTAAATTTTTAATATTATTTATGTGGGACCTTTAGCACTGACTTTTATCCATAATATGACCATGTCCATGTCTTCTTCTTCAGATTTTCTTAACTTCAAAATGTTCTAATATTTTAAAATAATAAATAAAAATATTATTTTCGAAGTTAAACTAACACATACACATATTTGTTAAAGTTAGTGTATTTCTTATTGTAATCCTTGACAGTGAGTGAGTATGGAACATGACATGACTAAAACCTTATCCAGAAACCCCTTCTCTCCTGACAGCATGGTCTTGTAAAAGGGAAACTAGGCCAGTGGTTAAACACGAGTCGTGTGATGCTTAGACTCGGCCAAGTGGAAATGATCACTTGACAAACCCACCAGGCGGATGAAAAGCTAGCTACGGTTCAGGAGGCAGCCATTCTGTCATTTTTGCTTCTGGAGAACACCCGAGGTCCCAGCCGCTTCGCCTCACTTCATTTAACAGCAATGAGCCCTGCTAGATGTTACATTCATTCTCTTTCTCTCTCACACACACAATGCTCAATGTGCCATTTACAAAGTCTCATGCTAATGCTGCCTTCACGGCAAAAGCGAATTATTCGCAGTAGTAGATTCCATGCAAAGTCGATGCAAATGTTTGCAAACAACGCAAAGTTTTGACGCTGTCTTGCGAAAGCCAATGAGCGTTGAGATACTGCCCATCATCACTGCCGTCTTGCTGCCAAAGCATGAATATATTTTATAAAACTGCCACTCACCAGAGACCGATAGACAAGCACCCCGCACGCCCCTTTTCTGGTACAAATGAAGTGCGATGCGGATGACACAAATTAACGACAAATAGTGGGGCAAGTAAACTCGCACGTGTA